CAAAAAAAATCTCAGATGTGGCAATTAAACCGACAAAACACACGCAGACAAATAATAGACCGACTGTTTACTTGAAAAGGACAACTTCCCGTTTGGAAAAAAAACAGGTCAAGGTCAGATTCAAACCCAGGACCTTTGCCGCCCAGGCATATTTGTTACCTCCAGATAAAGCGTGCCTGAGACACGTCGAAATTTGAATTCAGTATGAAATAAAAATTTAAGTGTTCAAGCGTGTTCAAGTGACTCTGTTTAACAAGTTGTTAACCCAAAAAAGTCTATATTCCGATTTGATAATGCTTCCTAATCGCAAGCGTAACAAAAACAAGCGTAAAATTGCTTTATGTTTTGACTAATTCCGATAGAATTAATGGCAAAACTAAGCTTTTGCTAATTCATTCTAAAATTGATTTACGGCAAAACTTTATCTTTTATTAGTTCGTTGTGAAATTGATTAGTATTTTATTTAATTCCGATAGAATTGATGATATTACCGAGGCAGATATATTTAATTGTTCGGTTGTTTAAATTATCATCGCCTGAACAAGTGTTTGCCGGAAACTTATCAATGCATACAAAATTTTATTGAAATGATGATTTGTGCAAGAAAAAACGAACTTCGACTTCAGTAGGCTTTATGGGACTTTGATGATTTATGTTTTTGCATAATTAAACCAATGTTAACAAAGAACTCGATGAATTGTTCAAACACAGTTAAAGGGGAAGGACGATCTTTGTTGAAGAAAGTTGAAGAAAAACTAGGTATTGATAAAGCACTTGATAATTTTCTTTTAAGCTCATTGAACAATTTAAAAGTTTGTCTTGAGTAACCGATAAAAATGCTGGATTTGTTGAAATGAATAGTCTTTTCTGCAGTTTTTAATTCTCTTTCTAACTATTGCCTTGCTCGCTCTTAAAAATGATTTAAATTGTCCGTATCATTTCATCACTCACCCAACTTTTGAGTAATTTATTTTTCTTGGTTTTCAAGTTATTTTTTTGATTTGTAAGCAATGGAGGTAGTTTTTTTAAAATGTTTTCACTGTATAATAAGTTTAGATTCGTTTAGTGTGTTCTGAAAAAGCGGATGAAACTTTCCGAAACTTTGATTAGTATGCCTTATAAATTTAATATCCAGAACATCCTCATTTTTTGAAGAAAAAAAATTCGTGAGCTAGGCAGTAATAACTAAGCATCAGAAATAACTTAAGCTTGTTTTTCCTCCCAACGTTAGGTAGCACTGACCTTTATCTTGAAAAGGTCCTTCAAGTTTGGTCTCTAAATTGTTTTATGGAATGTTTTCAAGAAAAAAGTTGGAGTAATTTTGAACCTGACCATATTACAGCCTATATGAGAGAATGACACGATAGAAGGAAAAAGGCGCACATATGAGAGGTTGAAAAAAAATGGAACCACACGATTGTTTTTCTCGAACCGAATAATTTCGATTCAGGAATACGTGCCTGGAAATTAGCTGACACTATAGGCTAGGAGTGTTCTTGGGTCAGCAGATGAAAACACAGTGAGCGGTATGAGTTATTTGAAGATTTTATTTTTCAAGAATTTAATATTTCGCTTTTTCGGCATGAACAGTTTAAATTACAATTAAATTATTTTGTTAATAATTGCCCGTTCAGTTGTTAAAGCCCAACACAATTTTATCGAATAGAGTCCGTCCGCCTTCATCGAATTGTATCATGTCTATAAAGAGACGATCACTGGCGATACCACCAAAATAGCATTGCAAGCTAGCAGACAGAAAAGATAAGGAAGCAACTAAACCCAAACAAAGCGGGAAAATGTTCTAAGAAACCACAACTAAAAAGGTTGTCTAGAATGATCTTCAGTTTGTGGGAAACAAGTCCGGAAACACATGCGATGGCGTTTAATGAAAATTCAAAAACCACTTTTAGAGTGAAAAAAAGTGTTGTCATGAAAAAGCTTTGAACTATTACCGATCGACCAAAATTAGGTTATTTAGTCAAAAAACAATCAGTACATGAAAACATGAACACCAACTACAATGAAATCTGCACACAGCAAAAAAAAATCTCAGATGTGGCAATTAAACCGACAAAACGCACGCAGACAAATAATAGACCGACTGTTTACTTGAAACGGACAACTTCCCGTTTGGAAAAAAAACAGGTCAAGGTCAGATTTAAACCCAGGACCTTTGCCGCCCAGGCATATTTGTTACCTCCGGATAAAGCGTGCCTGAGACACGTCGAAATTTGAATTCAGTATGAAACAAAAATTTAAGTGTTCAAGCGTGTTCAAGTGATTCTGTTTAACAAGTTGTTAACCCGAAAAAGTCTATATTCCGATTTGATAATGCTTCCTAATCGCAAGCGTAACAAAAACAAGCGTAAAATTGCTTTATGTTTTGACTAATTCCGATAGAATTAATGGCAAAACTAAGCTTTTGCTAATTCATTCTAAAATTGATTTACGGCAAAACTTTATCTTTTATTAGTTCGTTGTGAAATTGATTAGTATTTTATTTAATTCCGATAGAATTGATGATATTACCGAGGCAGATATATTTAATTGTTCGGTTGTTTAAAATATCATCGCCTGAAGAAATGTTTGCCGGAAACTTATCAATGCATACAAAATTTTATTGAAATGATGATTTGTGCAAGAAAAAACGAACTTCTACTTCAGTAGGCTTTATGGGACTTTGATGATTTATGTTTTTGCATAATTAAACCAATGTTAACAAAGAACTCGATGAATTGTTCAAACACAGTTAAAGGGGAAGGACGATCTTTGTTGAAGAAAGTTGAAGAAAACCTAGGTATTGATAAAGCACTTGATAATTTTCTGTTAAGCTCATTGAACAGTTTAAAAGTTTGTCTTGAGTAATCGATAAAAATGCTGGGTTTGTTGAAATGAATAGTCTTTTCTGCAGTTTTTAATTCTCTTTCTAACTATTGCCTTGCTCGCTCTTAAAAATGATTTAAATTGTCCGTATCATTTCATCACTCACCCAATTTTTGAGTAATTTATTTTTCATGGTTTTCAAGTTATTTTTTTGATTTGTAAGCAATGGAGGTAATTTTTTTAAAATGTTTTCACTGTATAATAAGTTCAGATTCGTTTAGTGTGTTCTGAAAAAGCGGATGAAACTTTCCGAATCTTTGATTAGTATGCCTTATAAATTTAATATCCAGAACATCCTCATTTTTTGAAAAAAAAAATTCGTGAGCTAGGCAGTAATAACTAAGCACCAGAAATAACTTAAGCTTGTTTTTCCTCCCAACGTTAGGTAGCGCTGACCTTTTTCGTAAAAAGTTCCTTCAAGTTTGGTCTCTAAAATGTTTTATGGAATGTTTTCAAGAAAAAAGTAGGAGTAATTTTGAATCTGACCATATTACAGCCTATATGAGAGTATGACACGATAGAAGGAAAAAGGCGCACATATGAGAGGTTGAAAAAAAACTAAGCCACACGATTGTTTTTCTCGAACCGAATAGTTTCGATTCAGGAATATGTGCCTGTAAATTAGCTGACACTATAGGCTAGGAGTGTTCTTGGGTCAGCATATGAAAACACAGCAAGCGGTATGAGTTATTCGAAGAACTTTTTATTCAAGCGTTTAATATTTCGCTTTTTTGGCATGAACAGCAAAAAAAATCTCAGATGTGGCAACTAAACCGACAAAACATACGCAAACAAATAATAAGGCGACTATTTACTTGAAACGGACAACTTCCCGTGTGGAAAAAAAACAGGTCACGGTCAGATTTAACCCAGGACCTTTGCCGCCCAGGCATATTTGTTACCTCCAGATAAAGCGTGCCTGAGACACTTGGAAATTTGAATTCAGTATGAAATCAAAATTCAAGTGTTCAAGCGTGTTCAAGTGATTCTGTTTAACAAGTTGTTAACCCGAAAAAGTCTATATTCCGATTTGATAATGCTTCCTAATCGCAAGTGTAACAAAGAATGTTAGCTATTGTTGATAGCTTCTCCTTACCAACTGAAAATCAAAAAAAAAAATCGCCGCACTCTTGCTATAAATGGACAAAACGAAAAATCTGATTTTGTGACAAAACTGAAAAATCTGCAAAACTTGAATTTTTGACGAGCGTTTTGATCCAATCTGATTTGACTTCCATTGAAAGCACACACATCGCGACTTTGTTGACTTTGCAAAAAGTACTGATGCAAAATTTCTTTGACCTGCAAAATCCACTTTTGCTTTGGGGATATAGTCCTGTTTTTTTCATCTATTGTTACATTCTGGGAATTAGGGTAATCGTAGTGTTTAACAAGGACAGCCGTTACTGTGCAACTTGCACAAGGACAGCCCGTTACTGTGCAACTTGCACAGAAAAAAAACTTCTGAATGTTCAAATTCAGAAGTTTTTTTTCTGCCTGGTGTGATAGAAGGAGCTGAACAAAAAACTGCGCAAAATAGTAAATTACGCAAAATGAAAAACAATTTTTGAAGAAAAAGGACCAGAAAACGAAAAAAAGCTCAAGTTTTTTTCAAATATTTTTTTTGCAGTTTTTTGAAGTTTTTGATTCCAAGAAGGCGCTTAAATATAGCAAAAAAAACTAAATTACTTGATTAAACTGAGTTTTCACGTTTAAATTAAACTTTTAAGCTATTAAAGTAAGCTTTTGTAAGCCTGCTTGATCTCTTTATTCGCTCGAATTGAAACGAAAAATCAAAAGTTTCAACCCGATTTTTCTTGACACTGGGAAAATTTTTTGAATTTTTCTATGTCTTTCGAATCACGACTGTAAGGGCAGTAATAGAATATATCACCTAATTCTCTTCGATGATTATTTGTGCTAGCTGATTTTGCGTTGAAATAAAAAAAAAGAAAAAACTAAAACATAGCCGAATACAAAGTTCCCTTCCATTTTTCAAATGGTCGGAACAATAACTCTTAAAAAATTTTTAACGAATCCTTTCCCACACTTAATTCAACATCAACTCTTTGCTTTTTGTTTACTGAGTTTCCCCACTTAAAAAATTAATTACATACCTTGGAGCATTAACTCTTCTTACGCGTTTCAATTGATGTCACACTTTAAGGTAAATAATGCAAAGGCTGAACTAAATCGAAGATTGCAATAAGTAATTCACGCTGGCCCAGGTTCACTGGAAAAAACGTAGCCAACCAACAGTTGGTGAAGAGTCAATGAACGCAAGTAAACAGAAAAAAAACACTGCCTTATTTTTTTTGAAAAATTCGCAACTTTCGATTTTCAAAACATTAGATGGCCTTAAAATTCTTCGATTTTCTAGAAGAATGTTTTATTAAACTAAACCAATTTGAGCAAAATGAATCGGAAATATTTATCATTTTGCTGGGAGATCTGAATTTGATCACTTTTTTGCAACCGATTCCGTTTTGCTGTTCAATAGTGGAATTTGCTTTCCTTTTAACAATGGAAATGAAGTAAACTGAGAAATCAAAAGTCAAACCGCAAAAAAAAAAAAAACTTGAGATAAATAACAAAAACCATCATCAAAACCTAAATAACCGTCTGAATTACTAACATCGACTCTTCGAAAATTCAAAATTATGCTTCTATTCAATCTGGCACCCTAAACTCAGAAGAATCTTTTGAATTATTTCACAAAAAAAAACATCTTAATTTAAATGGAGAGGAAGTTGAAATTTCGCAGAACCACAAACATTGCGTCAACGAAAACTGACAATAAATTTTTTGCTGACAATAATATGTTTTTACAATAAATTTCAACCGTTTCAAAATATTTCGTACCGTTTTATACTTTAAACGCATAAAACGACTTCAAGTTTTTTAATGAAGTGCGGTAAACGGATAGCTTGAAAATAAATATGGTGAACAAAGAAGCAAAAACGTTTTCAAGTCAAATTATTACCACACAGTTTTATGGTTCTGCAAAAAACCACGTTGGTTTTATACACAAAACTTACGATAATTTAATGAGAGCAAGTTTTCTTATCACAATATGTTCATTTGTAAAGTCTCACCTGAAGAATTATCGAGTATGGTTTGCTGCAATAAATTAGCGCAGCGACTAGTTGAACATTCAATTGCACAAAAATTAAGTATAGAGACAATTCAAATGAAACTTTGGATGCTTTTTTGGCCTAGTTCAATGCAAAAATGGCAAGTAATGACCCCTTGCTTCCTAGCTATTACATTCGACACTACAGAAATATAAAAGCGAAGAAAAAAATTATAGCATGGAATCAGACTTTTAGTTTAGTTGCCCCCCTAACCAGAAAGCATAATCAAAAAAATTTTACACTGAGACGAAGCAGAGCTTCGAACCACTTGCGATGCAAAAATAGCTCAAGAAAAAAATCAAAAAATCAGATTACACAATTGTTGCAAGGACATTTAATAAAAATTATTTAAGCAACCAAACGAACATACCTGTTTTTTACTTTTTAAACCTACCTGCTACGCATTGAGGTCTTCCGAAGACACGCGATCGAACTATTGGTAAATTGAATTGATGAAAGAACCAAATACCACCAAATCTGATTTACTCTTTAAATAACTAAATGAAAGACATATAAATAACCAACAACGTTATTCAGTTTTTCAGAAGCTAAGACAAACCAAATTAGAAAGACAAACGTTATCTGAAAAATTAAAAAACAGTTCTAAAAATAACAACATTACTGACAATGAGAAACTTCGCAAACACGTTCGAAAATCAATTCAAAAACAATTCAATAATTTATTTTTTATAACTTCCAAAAAAATAGATCAGAAAAAAAGAATGAAAAAAACACATGAACTGGAACTGAACACAGTTTACAAATAAATCAACGGATTTCGGACAGCTGTGAAGCCAAAAAAAAACGCAGATTTCATTTCCAAATAAAAAATCCGATCCGACAAGAACAACAAGTTGGCAGAAAAAAAAACGGCTTACCAAAAAATCATAAAGAGAAAACTTACCAAATATTTAAAAAAATCATTAAGCTATTCTTTAGAAAGATGTAGTCAGCAAACAGCTCAAAATTGACTCAACGTGAGAAAAATTATTAAAATTCAAAAAGCTATTCTGAACAAAATTGTCAAAAAAATTGATTATCAAAATTTCTCATTTGATCGTAGTTCAAGCTTGTTTGGTCGCAATTTTTACTCTCCTAACACAATGAAACTACGCTAAACTGGAGGCACAAAAATTGACAGACAGCAACTCAACTTGACTTAGCAAAACGATGAACTCAACTAGCAATTTTAATTCAAATTATCAAACATTTTGAATTTAATTAATTCCGATTTGCTGGCAACTCAAGCTTGCTCGGTTCTCGTTCAAATTTCAATTGTAACAGCTATTTTTTAACCAAAATGGGCTATTAGCAATGAGAACATATTTTCAATTGTTGTAGAAAAAACAATTGCTGAAGAGAAAAATGAAAAAAAAAATGCGAAAACACATGAACTCATTACCTACACCAGAACATATATATAATAAAAACAGCTGATTGAAAAAAAGCAACCAAACGAACATACCTGTTTTTTACTTTTTAAACCTACCTGCTACGCATTGAGGTCTTCCGAAGACACGCGATCGAACTATTGGTAAATTGAATTGATGAAAGAACCAAATACCACCAAATCTGATTTACTCTTTAAATAACTATTGAAAGACATATAAATAACCAACAACGTTATTCAGTTTTTCAGAAGCTAAGACAAACCAAATTAGAAAGACAAACGTTATCTGAAAAATTAAAAAACAGTTCTAAAAAAAACAACATTACTGACAATGAGAAACTTCGCAAACACGTTCGAAAATCAATTCAAAAACAATTCAATAATTTATTTTTTATAACTTCCAAAAAAATAGATCAGAAAAAAAGAATGAAAAAAACACATGAACTGGAACTGAACACAGTTTACAAATAAATCAACGGATTTCGGACAGCTGTGAAGCCAAAAAAACGCAGATTTCATTTCCAAATAAAAAATCCGATCCGACAAGAACAACAAGTTGGCAGAAAAAAAACGGCTTACCAAAAAATCATAAAGAGAAAACTTACCAAATATTAAAAATATCATTAAGCTATTCTTTAGAAAGATGTAGTCAGCAAACAGCTCAAAATTGACTCAACGTGAGAAAAAATTATTAAAATTCAAAAAGCTATTCTGAACAAAATTGTCAAAAAAATTGATTATCAAAATTTCTCATTTGATCGTAGTTCAAGCTTGTTTGGTCGCAATTTTTACTCTCCTAACACAATGAAACTACGCTAAACTGGAGGAACAAAAATTGACAGACAGCAACTCAACTTGACTTAGCAAAACGATGAACTCAACTAGCAATTTTAATTCAAATTATCAAACATTTTGAATTTAATTAATTCCGATTTGCTGGCAACTCAAGCTTGCTCGGTTCTCGTTCAATTTTCAATTGTAACCACTTATTTTTTAACCAAAATGGGCTATTAGCAATGAGAACATATTTTCAATTGTTGTAGAAAAAACAATTGCTGAAGAGAAAAATGAAAAAAAATTGCGAAAACACATGAACTCATTACCTACACCAGAACATATATATAATAAAAACAGCTGATTGAAAAAAAGCATAAGAGTTTAAAACTGAATTTATTGTGTAAATTGAAAACAAAAACGAAAAAATTTCAATTTTTTTTTAATTCAAAAAAAATCGAACATATTTAATGTTTTTCATTTTTTAGATTTTCACTTTTATTAGGAAGGGTCTGGGAGTGTAATTAAAATTTGTCCAAATCTTTTTTAAGACTTCAACCATTCTTATAAAAGTAATTGAAAAAAAAATCATATCATTCGGAAAAATGAGCCGACGGAAATAAAGCCGACACTCAAGTGCCGAAAAAAAAAAAAATTTGGCACAAAAAAACGCTGTTACAGACAGGCACACACTGCAGGCTCATACCTAACATGCCAATACTACAACTATCTCTGCAGTAAAACAAGTGCGAACGAACTTACGTCCGAATTATGTGGACAAAAATGTTTACGGCAAAACCCTCTAAAAAAGTTAGGTAAAGTTGCCTTAAGTCACTTAAGGTAAGTGGTTGTTAAGGTAAAATTTTCCTCAAGTCTACCTTAAAATTCTTTAAGAGAAAATCTTTATTTTAAAAAGTAAAGGTAACTTAAGATAGGTTCAGGTAGATTTTGCAAACTTTTTAAAAACTATTTCGTAGGTAATTTTTTAAATCAAGAATTTAAAATCTCTTTTAGAGCAGTAAAGAGGTAAAAGTGGGGTAACTTAAGGTAAAATTCAAGGTAGTTTCACCTTAATTTTTAAGGAAAAGTTGAGTTGAGCTAAGGTAATAGTTTAGGTGGCTTAAGGTATATTTACCTTCTTAGTTAAGGTAACTTTTTCAGGTAAACTTGGGTCAACTTAAGGTAGTTCCCCACAAATTTTAAGGTAAACTTGAGGTGAGTTGAGGTGACTTGAGGTAAAGTTAAGGTGAGCACTTTTTGCCTTAACTGTTGGGGTAACTCAAGGTAATTTCTAAGGTAAGTTTACCTCAACTTTTTACTTTGAGTGAAAAAGTCTAGTACCCGGTTGCAATACCCTTGCTTATCGCAAGGGTAATCAATAATACACCTGTTTGAATATTAGTTTCTCTTTGAAAAATCCGTCATTTTCTTTTCCCGTGAACTGAACTAAAATTTGAAAACGCACCTGCCTTGCAGTTTGAGAGAAATTTGAAAAAGCTAAAAAGCTCGATGAGATGATGTGGCTGTAAAAAGAGATGTATGTTCTAAAAATTTAAATTAAATTCTATGAATACATGTTCAGCTGAATGAACTTCAAGTACAAACACTCACTCCCACTCACTCCACTTCATCTCCCCTTTCAGTCCACTGTCCCTGAACAGTCAGTTGGGGGAGGGGTGTAGATTAGCAAATGTTGACTTGGATGGTAGAATGGTGGACAGTGACAGAGGGGGGATGAAGTGGGTGCTATTCTTAATATCAGTAGGGCATGCAGCGACAGAAGCAGCAGCAGTTGGGATTGTTGAATAGTTCTGATTGGCTGCTGCACAGTAACTGCGCTTAGAAGAAGATGAGCAACAAACAACATCAACGGAGTGGGGCAGGGAGTAGGTGGAGATTTTGGGGGAGGGGTGTTTCGAAGTAGGAAAGGAAGTGGAGCTGAGTCGTCACTTCACTGGCGGACTGTGACAGATCCATATTGCAGAAGCATATGGTAAGTAAATCACAGCTCAACTGGATGGGTGGGGACAATGGAGTGGGAGTAGGAGGGGAGGGGTTCTTGCAGATATCATGGCGGTATGGATGGAAGAAGGATACTTTGAGCACACAGAAGAGACAGAGTAGAGCAAATTGGGAGGCAGAGGCACAGAGTGTACAGAAAAGCAGCTGCCAGCATACATTATGTCTCTCGTTGGTATGGCCATACATTAACAAACAATTCAGAACAAATGATGTTATGCCACAACTAAACCGACAAAACTAAGCAGACAATGCCAGGCAAGTTGAAGCAAAAAACCAAACAGACGAGTAAACTTTTCATCCTAAAAGGAATTTCGGTTACATATCAGTATTTAGACAACCGCGTATTCAGACTGGTCAGTATTTAGACAAATACTGTTTCAACCAATCAGAATCGAGACAAAGAAGAAATTAATAAATAATTATTATTTATTTTGGATTATTTAAGTCTTTTCTCGATTCTGATTGGTTCATACAGTATTTGTCTAAATACTGACGAGTATGAATACGCGGCTGTCTAAATACTGGCTGCACTCCGGAATTTCATATACAGAGACGAAGCTGAGCTACACATCACGTGTGAATCAGGAATGCATTTCTGTTGCACTTCGAAAGAGCAGCTGCTGATCATGTGTGCGTGTTAGTTAGTATAGAATTTGAGAACAAAAAAATTAACCATAAATTATATCTAGAAAAAAAGCAGCAACGAAAGCACATTAGAACCAAGAATCGCAATCAGCACATTGAATCACCTCAATCAGTCATTCTAGACTAGGGGAGCAAATGTGTTCGGAATATTGCGATCACTTTTACAATTAGCAAAGGACAAGGTTCGTGATCATTCCAATGACAATTGCATAATGAAGGTTTCTGTAGTCATAAATACACGAGAATTTAACAAAAAATCGCACCAGCAAAGTGTAGCTATTTCATCACAGTTTGTTGTTTCAGTTTTTGTTCATCTATACTGTGTTGTGTATTTTGCTTAATCATCCTCTTTCTCTTCATTATATCCCCCCTTCCTCTGCTCAAATATTTTGTCGTCTCCTCTCTTCTTCCTTTCTCCAGTCTGGCTTGTCTAGTTTTCCTTGTGGGTCAACAGAAAGTGTCGAGATGGGAGAGAGGACGGTGCTGCCCTATACTAGGCTAGGTCCTGAGGGAATGATGGGGTTGCTGAGGCTGTATGGTGGGAGATACAACCTAAGTTGTCAGTTCTGTTGAAGGTGAGTGGGGGGCAGTAGGGTGGCGGTGTTGTTGTTGTCCTTGTTGTGTTGACTGAGGGAGGTAGGATGGGTGGGTGGGTGGTAGTGTATTGTTAGCACATGGAGATGGTGACATTGATGCCGAGGTTGCCGTTCTCCGCGAACAGGTTGGCCATGTTTGTGTCGAACACGAGGCAGTCGCTGTTGTGTATGGCCGATTGGACCCCCTCGTGTATGGAACGCGGGGTGGCCTCCCAAGCCAATCGTCTCCTGTTCCCATTAAGCTCCAGTCTAAAAAAAAACTCAGGTCACAGCCAAAGAAGAAATGCATTCAACCGACAACTACTTCAACATCATCACAAACAATCAGTTCGAAAACAAAAATAACTCAAGGAAACCGATAAGAAACTTCAAGTTTTTGAAACTTTTGAATTTCATAATTCAAAAAAATTCATTTTGAGAAGAAACATGATCAACAAATTGATTTTAATCCACTGGATTTTTTACCTACAAGGCCAGCCCAATTCTCAATGAGAGCATACTTTTTTCTCCAATAGCCAACAGACAGGTGGAAAAGTGCCAAGGGACTCTAGTCAACCGAAAAAAAAAATTGACTCATTTAAAAACGTTTTCACGTTTGGAATTTCGAAGAAACAAAACATGACTTTGAAGCTTTTAGAATTTCAAGAATCTTTTATGATAGGCATTTTTGTCATAAAACTAAGCCAATTACAGATCATGGCCAACAGACAATTGGAAGAATCAATGAACGCAAGTAAGCAGAAAAGAAAAATACCGAATTGCTTTGAAAAAAAACTTTCGAATTTCTAAGAAAACAGATGGGCTTGAATTTCTAGGAATTTCTACAAAAAATTTATGATAGACATTTTTGGATAAAACTAAACCAATTACTGGATAAGGTATTTTTTTTATTCAGCTGGGAAACCTGAATAAAAACCGCTTCCCAAACACAAACGAGGAAAATGCAAATCAAACAGACAAAACAAAGTGAAATAAGGAAAAGATTAAATACACACCTTGAAAAAATGAATTTGTTGAGACTAGGAATATCACGTTTTTACATCTGCTACACGATCTCTTTTGATAATACTACTTTAATAATACTAGCCGCCAATATAGCAGCTAAAGTTTCTATCAAATTGCCGATGTTATGCAGCGAAATTCGACCAAAAAAATTCAACTGTTTAAATGTTCAGGTTTCGAATATCCGACTTGTTGATTAGGAGTCTCACGTCCTCGCATATGCGCCACGGTTGCTTAGAAGTAAATTAGTGGCCAAGCTAATGCTGGTTCTAGCTGTTCTAATATTTTAAATCATAAATTGTACTAATACAAAAATGCGTAATTTTCAAAATTTTAAAAAGTGGAGTAGGTTTTTAGAAACGCTTATATAGGGAATTAACCGTTTCTTTAAAAGAAAAAACCATTACTTGCTCTTTCAATTGAAAATTTTGTTTCAGTTTTGGTTGGTTCAAAACGGTCAAAAATTTGACTTTTCCTAAACCCATAGCCTCTGCTTTCCATACCCTGATTTTTAGATTGAAGATTTCCACTTATTTAGCTAGTAATTTTCAAAAAAAAGAAAAAGCGGATTAAAAGGAAAAAAGGAAATTTCCAAATTCCATATCAGCTTTTCTACAAAAACAAACAGGGTAAAACAGATTATGCACAAAAAATCTAACACCATGTTAGTTTAATGAACTGCTTACCTCAGAATCAGGTTTGTTTTAGAAAAAAAAAACTTTCCAAAAAACCAGCAAATTTCAAAAAATGGACATTTTCCAAGGCCAATTTTTGTTTGAAAACCCAGGGGACAGCTAAGTGCGCAGGTAGGTTCAAAATTAACTAAAATGTCAAAATGGGGCTTGTTGAGGCCATATCTTCTTCTTAGATTTTAGGAAATAGCCGCTTGAAAAGGGGAGATCCCACACTTTGTTCGTTTCATTGAAATCTTCATCTCACATTTGTGCATTTAAAATCTGAGAAAAGATTAAAACTCAAAACAAATAGGCCAAAAATCCCTCTACCGAAACTTTCGAATCGGCCGGTTTTTCCATTTGTACCATTTTTTTTAAACAGTACAAAAGTATTTGAGAAAAATTGAAATTTCTGCAAAAAGTACCAAAATTTGCTAAAGCGTCGCGAAAAACCAACAACAAACCTCATACATTTTCATAATACATGAATTGAACCTGAAAAAAAATCAAAGTCAAATCGCGAAAAAAATAAATGAGCGTAGCAAAAAAAAACTTTAAATTTCCTCGAAAAAAAAAACAAACACGGCCTTAAAAGTGCCTTCACTTCGTTCATTGAAAATACTCATTGGTGAGTTCCAAAGGATGATCCGGGAAAAAAATTTACTTTGTGTTGGTAAAAAGTACTTATATTTATGACCGTATATGTGTTGTTACCTGTAGGCGAAGCTTTCGGCCTGTTTCCGGGATCCTATAAGCTGGACGATTGCGTAGAACTGTTGAATGCCATCGAACTTGTCCTGCTTCTCAAGCACCAGCATGAAGTGGTGTCCGAAGCAGCTTTGCATCATCACCCAGTCCACCGCACCCGGCAGGTTGATGTCTGTCGCCAGAAACACTATGTCTTCTCCTTAAACACAACACACACACTACACATTTAGTCGTCACATTATATATTCAACAGGCACAGAGCACGACTATACATGTTTTACACTAAAATGTTCAGTACTTTTACGTCCCATGCAAATATTTTTAGGCATCTGAAACCGCGCGAAACAAGTATAGTTCCCGATTACACATCACTTGCTCTCCCGAGTGATAGAAGCCGACTTAAGCCTAATGCACATTTCAAGCTAATAAAAACTATCTTTTGACGAAATTCACCTTATTGGCTTTCGTTTTTTATTTCAATTTGCACTTTCAATATTGGAGAGCATACTATCAGTTTTAGCAAACTATTATTAATATTATTATTATTATGAAAACTTTATAATCTACCTACAAGAGATTAAAGGGGTGAGTACAAATTAATTTCAATTGAACTTATAAAACTCAAACCGCGAAAATCAAGTTTGAGCGTAAAGACCTTCGTTGATTGGCTTGCAATAATGAACTAGATTTTTTTCGTAAATTGATTCAGCACAATTCGCTGGGCGATCACCTTGATACAATTTACATAACAGCGATATGGTTCAAAAGTCCCTTTTTCGAGCATAAGCCAAGATCGAGAAAAATTCAAATTCTGTCCCAAAGCCTTCACAATTATAATCTGAGCTTATCTCTACGATAGGAATGCCAATTTAAGTCGACAAATTTAGGCAAAATCCCAGCAGGTGAACGATATTCAAAATTAATTTTCATGTTCCATTATAAACTAGTTACTAAACTTAAACCATAAAAAACGCATTACATGAGGGGAGGTTTACTGCAGAAATATCTACTTGTCAACATCAATATTTCTCACTCTGATCTAGAGAACAATCATATCAAATGCTAGATCAGTACAAGGGGAGTTCCTATGCCTGAATTTTGTACGCTGAGTTAACTTACTAAAAGGCAACTGCGTGTCTAACAGGGAAAAAATCTAGTGCTTGATTACAAGACACTTGTTATCGCAATTGCAAGCAAGAAGACGTCAAAAAATCTGAAAACCAACCATTGCCTTTGAAGCGCTATAAGAAGTAATTAAGCCCTTTTACACACGACAACGACCAAAACTTAACAAATTAGTTTTATGGGTCCTGAATATGTTACATTTTGGCTATGGCTTCAACGACTTCAGATATTTGACATTCATCTCCGGATGGTATGGTATGGAATGGTAAGTGAACCATTCTGTATGAAAGACCAACCTTGTAAAGTGGTGATTGATTTGTGCGCTTGTGTCAAATGTGGCATAACTTGGTCAAGAGATCCTTGCCATTTACAGGATGCTCCTGGACAGGGACAAGAATATGGTCTATATTCACAGGTCTCCTCGTGCTCACTTTTCTCTGTGTGGAGCAAGGTAACCGAACATCCCACACCATTGTACTTGCAGGGAAACATTACGGTGTTGGCCACTTTCTCCATTGCCAGATTTCTGATGGACCCTAAGGGTCCTCTGCACGTAGGACAACACTGCAACTTTGGTCGACATGTACTGCATACTAGATGGCCACTTTGACATTGCAATATTGGAGGTAGCACATAATCGAAACACACAGGACATTCAAATAACTGTGCGAGGTCTGGATTAGGATTATTCAAAGATGATCCCGCTTGAAGAGGATTTGCAGGCACATGGATGCCAGATGAGTCTCGCTGCATAGACCCACTCAAGAACGGCGAAACTTGAAAACAAAACGTACGATAACAGTGATCGAATCAATAGATTTTAAATCAATTTTTCGTTCAACTTACCCTGAGAGACGTTATTCATCGGTTTTGGTCCCCGCATAGGATTATTTGCCAGAGGACCAATTTTTTGATCCATTAATTACTGTTCTGAAACTTTCAATGCAATTATACTAATGTGACATTCGACCAGAATGGCCAAAATGCAGTCTCTGCAGAATTCGGTATTTTAGCAGCAAGCCTTCCGAATTGGCGATTTAGAACGGATAAGGACGTTATTTGAACGATTGGCCAAACGGTGAAGGCTAGAAGATTCTGGAATTCTAAATTTTAAATTTTCGAAATGATGACGTAACATTTCTGAGAAATGTTAAAACGGCCATTTTAGCTAAAATAGCAGAAAGAAACAGAACAACTTTTATCTGCGATTACGAACAGTACGAAATCGAGACTAAAAAACAACAACGAACTACCGAACAGCAGAGGACGTTCCGAGTTGCAACTATTGTGCTGTTACAATAGTTGCAGGGCCGTTGCGAACAACGGTGAAGGGTGAAAACCAGCCCTCCGAGTTAGCGTGAACTTGAGGTTAAGGAGCTTGATTCGCCGGATTCAAGAATCCGGAAGGGTCTCGGGACGGGAACTTTTATGAACTTGTATTGAATTTTAGCATCCGTCATGTCCTGACTTGAATTTAATTAAGATCTTAATTCGTTTTGACAAGAATGAGGAGCTAGAAGTAGGGGGGGAAGGGTTGATCCATCTTCGATGGAGATGATGATTTTTATCTACTGAACAAAAACAATAGTAATATGATAAGTAGTAGCCCTGTTTTTAGGAGTGACCTCGTGGTCTGGGGATACTGAGACCCAGCCATGAGCTCACTATTTTTGCATGTAATCTAGTTAATTTGGGTGTTTTGACCGAAGCCGAAAGCAGTAACGTTTTTGTCGACCCGATGTTAGAGAAGACCACCGAAAAGTACTGGCTTGGTAGAGACGGTGAAAAACATGCAAAGCTTTGTTTAGACGCTAGCCAGTCGTCTTAAGACTTAGTTTTGTTATCCGTCGATATGTATCTTCCGGGCGAATGTTACATGTATGTTTTTATGGCGCTCCTGGGTGTTATTCTTTTTTAACATCATGACCGGCAGAACCGTTAACGAGCATTCCGCGCCGAGCGGATGCTCACATTAACGCCCTTATTAGGCCTAAACCGCCGGGGCGGAAGGGTAGTTCGGAACGCGGAGGCCTTCCGGATTGCCGTGAATAGTTTTTTAACCTAGTTAAGACCGAAAATTCACGAACCAGGAAGGGTGGGGGGATCGGCCGTCCCCTCGTCCCCTGAGTGGTTGGTGACCAAAAACACTTAAAGATATAAGTAAAACCAAACAAAAAGTAGTATAGTACCCAAGAAAAACAAAAAACAAAAAAAAAAAAACAGAAAAAACCAAAAAAAGTAAAAAAGTAAAAAATCAGTAGAAATCATCCCCCCAGACAAGATGTGATTCAACCCCCCCGTTTGTTGTTGATAGATATATTGTTGTTACAGGCATTTATATCAGTCAGGATCATTACGATCAATTTTGTGGCCCGTTTTTGAGGCTTGTACCGTAGGGTTATTTGAGCATTTAAGCACGTTAATGATAAATTGCGCTCAATCCGGAGGGGTCAGCTGATTTGCGCTCAATTCGGAAGGGTCTTGGGTGAAGACCGATCCGGCAAGCAGTACAGGGAACAACAGGAAGTGGCTCAACAACAACTACAATCGACTGTTGGGTATCGTTAACAAGTTTTGTATCCCTTTTGGTACAAAGAGTAGGATAGTAATCTGTGGGGGGCTCGACAGTGCTGCACTGTAGTGACCCTTCACCGAACTGCGAATATCCGAGTTAAGCACCTTAATTCGGAGATTAAACAAACCCGGAGGGGTATAGTATTCCTAGTATTATTATTTATATAGCCTATATTAATAGTCTTATATCGATTTTCAGCCAAAAACAACGAAAACTGACCGGTTTTTAGGGTCAAAATTGCGATATTTTGATCCCCCCACAAGTCGCGATTTTTGAGATATCGATATTTTTTGAAACGGAAAAAAGCGCTAAGTTAGTGTGTTACATCGTAACTGCACTACTGTAATAAGTAGAACCGGTTAACTTTAGTTCGGAAGTGGTTGGAACTAGTTTGGTACCAAAAACCAAATTTTCCCATTTTTTGATAGTACAAAGCGCTAAAAAATCAGAAATTTTTTTGAAATTTTTGAGTTAGGACAGTAAAAATAGTTGTTTGGACAACGTCCACTAGTGAATCCACGAGTTTTAAAACCCGCTACCCGAAAGCCTTCCGGGTTGCAGAGAAATCGAACTGAACGTGTTTGATTTGGTAGATTCACCAATCCGGAGGGGTCCAGGTAGCATAGTTTTTCGCAAATTTTTTCTACAAAAACGTTTTAGATCGGGTCTTTTGCATTGAACTAGAAGAGTATAGGCCTCCTGAGCTCGGATCAATAATTTTTAGGTCGAAAGGACCAGATTTGAGGAAAAAGTTAGGCGGAACCTATAGGAGAGAAAATTTTTGAATTTGGAAAAAAGACGTTTTGGTTAATAATTTTGGAAATACTGGGCATATCGAGTTGATATTGGTACCAATAGATCAGAAATTAGCTGAGCTTACTGATAGGATCAGAAATTTTTCGGAAAAACGAGAGAAAAAAAATTTTTGAGATTGTTTTTAGCAAATCACACAAATCCGGAGGGGTACACCCTTCACGTTTTACAAATTTTTCTGAAAAACCCTTAGACCTCAACCAAAAGTTGATAGCGATTGAACTAAGTAACTTAGGACAGTTCTAGACGGAAAAGGAGAGCTGAAGGCACAAGACAACCATAATAGAGTCGAAATTAGGTAAGCGATAAGACCCTTCACCGTTAGTGTGAATTGTCAAATAAGTGCCTTAACTTCAATCCGGAGGGGTCTAGGAAAGGACCCTATACCCTTCCCAGTTAATTCAAACAGCATAATAGTAACACAGAACGTATTAGGAGGGATATAGGTTGAAAAAGGGAAATCTCCTAAAAAACTGCTTTTACAAAATCGGAGGGCTCCCAATCCGGAGGGGTCAAAGTTTTTACAAGAGGGGTCCCAATCCGGAGGGGTCTTATAGTAGCTAATTCGGAGGGGTCCAAATCCGGAGGGGTCTCATATTAACTAACTCGGAGGGGTCCCAATCCGGAGGGGTCTAGATTCTGACAAATCCGGAAGGGTCCTATTTGTGCCAATCCGGAGGGGTCTAGATTCTGACAAATCCGGAAGGGTCCTATTTGTGCCAATCCCGAGGGGTATTATTTTATTAAGGACTTAGGTGAACGAAAGAAAGACTAAAAAGTGAGAAGTATTAAGTTATTAATACACAGGCTAGCTATCAGTGACTGCACTGGTAACTTGCCTTTCAAAAAGAACCAGACTAATACAAAACAGATCCGAACTCGGATATTCGCGACACTAAGTCTAAATTAGAAAGAGCGTGACTCATTGGTGTGGATTGAAACATAATACGTTTTTGGGAAAAGTGACTGCCCTGAGGATTTTAGTAGGTCTAGCTCGGGCAGTCCGAAGGCAGATAGGTAACACAATACTCGGTGGGTGCAATAGACGCCCACTTGAGAAAATTACTGCCTTCAAAGTTTTGTCTGTTTGGTGCAGCACCAAGCAGGGAAAGCTTTTTCTTTAAAATACAGGTTCGACTATTGTACTGCGACCAACTAAGAGTACAAGACACATACGTTTTTTTTATATATACATTCATATTGTGTCAATATATAATTCTTGTTTTTGATTTTAAATCAACCTAAACTGTGCTTGATTGGGTAGTGACTACACTATCTTTTAAATTGACTGATAACATCATATTGTGCTAGTTCCCAGATCTTTGGACCGATAATCGGCTAGTGTGAATAAATTTTATACAAACTGTACTCTGACAACATACAGAGATTCGTGGTCACTATTTAATAGAATCTGGTGAAATTTATTGTGTTGTGTCATTATTTTGTTAATAAAACTATAAGGTCTATAGCAATTGAGTCAAGGGTAGGCATAGGAAAGTGACAAATAAAGAATGAGTTTAGACAAGTCAAGGATACCAAAACGAGGTAATAGCTCTAGGAAATTCATACCTGAAAAGAAAAGAAAAACGATGACCGATCCTTTTGTGGATTGGATCAAGCGAACCCGGTCCGATAAAGAGGGGACGGTTTCAGGCAGAATGGTTGAGACGAGAAGTCAAAAGACCTCAGAAGAGAGAAGAGAACTATTAGAAGTGGAGGTCAATACGGACCATACCATGAATGACAACCAGGAAGTAAATGAACTGGAAGGGAGAGGCAGAAGGCTGGCGAGTGAATCTACCCCGGTAGAACAAGGCCATGATTTTGCCACTTCCACCGGGACGTTGGATCGAGAAGAGATGTCAGAACTGTCCGACATCTCAACTGAGGTAGCGACAACGAGAAGATCTCCGACAGACAACACTATGATGGCAGGTGGAACTGGGAAACAAACAACGTCATCATCATTTTCAGAAAGAATGAAGAACACCTTCGGGAACATCTTTCCATTCAGCATGGGAGGAGGAGCAGGCAACGATGGTGAGTCCCAGGAGGAAGAAGATGAAGAGGAGCAAGGGGACTATGGATCTCAAGTCAGCCTCAATAGTTCAGTCCAAGAGAGTGAGGCACACGTCGGAAGAGAGACTGGAACCACGGACAAATTTGGTGTGGTGACAACAATAAGCAAAGAAGCAATCACACCAGGCCAGTCAAAAGACTTCACGATGAGGGCAAGTTCGGAGCCAGAACCTGGTGAGAATAGAACCAGAGGGCTCTGCAACGCGTCAAATGATCTTGAAACAAACAATGAAAAGACGTCGAGGCAGAGAGTCAAGGCCCGGATCTCGACAAGCACGAAGTTACCTGGGACCGACAGGGTTACACCACCACTAGTAACGCCACTGGTGGATAACGGGGCAGCACTAGAGGAAGCCTTAAACAACATAGTTGACAGTTTAGGAGAACAAAACGAGCAAATGTCAATAAGGATGAGTGAACTAGAAAGAGCAGTTCACATTGAGAGAGAAAGGCTGCGGGAAGAAATAAA